TTGCTGAAAGGGAAAGCTGAGGCATAACCTGGGCCTGCCTCCTGAAATAACCATCTTTCCACCTCCTGGCAATAGCCTTTGAGTGCAGGGACCACCTTTGTGCCCCACAACACAAACGCAAAGCGGGACCCTGGCATTCGCCCGGGACACGGAGCTCCTAATGCACCACGAACACAACAGCAGTGATCCAAAAATAAAGCATGGAGTGCACTGAGGGAGGCGTGAGGTCTCGGGAGGGGATAGGAAATCCGGCAGAAAGTGAGTCAGAGCATCAGGAGCGAGGCTGCTGAACGCACAGACAGGCCTGAGCGGCTGAGCAAAGCGGTCTGGAGAACGCACACGCTCCACTCCTAGTCAAACAGAACTGCCTGCACAGAAATGACCACACCTTCTATGAAAAGTAGTTCTAATTAAAACCAGAACTTGGCCTTTTTTGATGCAAATTGTTGCTCTCGCTGAACCACAGCCCATTTGCAGCATTCAAATTCCCTCCTATCTCAAAGACATGGAAACAGAGAAAACCATTCCCCTCTCTACCACCTTCCATCACTATTTGCCTTTCTAGTTTGTACAGCATTGACACATCGTGTAGAGAWCTCAAAATCCAAGTAGGTCGTTGCTAGAGTTGCCCTCTTCTGTGCTCTCTGGGCATGAGGGGCTACTCAGACCAAAACTCCAGGGATGGACAAGCGGCAGCTGGTGACACGGGAGTTTCACTGGATTTTCAGGAGACCTGGGACCTCCTGGAGATACTGCCTGTTCCAGCTTGTGTCACAGTTACAGCCCTGGCTAGGGACAGATGAGCAGGAAAGAAGGAAAGGAAGAGTCAAGACAGAAGGGAAAAGAAGAGATTGACATTTGGTTTCACACCACTGAGGGTACAAAAGGAGGGGTTTCAAACCTTTCTGGCTGAAAGAAAGAGCAAAAAGAGAAATAGAGAAATAAGGACTATATATGCTGCAGGTGGTCTCTGATGAGAACAATGGTTAAGGTCATAGATATAGTGGCAGGGAGCCAAAGCACTCCAATTAATACATTGCTCATAGTGAAGATGATCAAAAGTGTAGGGTCATCTACAAGCACCACATTGAACACACTGCAATTCCCTTTTTAACAAATATCTGCTGCATCTGATATTTTTTTCTGTAAAAGACATGAGTTCACTATAAAACATCTCTGCTGCTTGGCAGTCTGATTAACCACTTCACACGCATCTGCTTTGTTTTCCTCCTCCCCACTACAGATTACTCAGCACCAAAAATAACCTTGGAGATGCTGTCTCAGACTCACTGTTTCAGTGTCAGATGCAACTGGATAATTAGCATTTAAATAATGACAAACTTTACTTTTTGTAAAATAAGAAGCACATAACATGACAGCTGGACTTGAAGAACTAAAACATGGTCAGGCAAATAAGTAGCATTCAAACAACAGATATATGTCTATTTGCTTAGGACAAGACCTAACACCACACTTCACACTTCATCTCTGTAAGGCACTCTAGGCCTTGTTGATTCTGAGGGCCTCGGTCTGTAACGTATTTGTCCTCCTATTGCTGTTGTCACACGATCCTAATATCTCTGTGCTGCAGATGGGGAGCTGTGGCACAGAGCAGCGGAGCTCCCCAAGGCTATGCAGGAAGCTTGTGGCTTTGTAGCATGATCCATGTTCCAGAGAACCCATGGGACGGCCAAGTGCCCTAAGCCCTCGGTCATCCTCTCTGTGGATCCTGGTTCTATAAAAGTCAACTGTGTATTCCTGTCAGCTTCAATGGGTTTGGGATGGTGCTGCAAGGGTTTGCCTGCCAATTTCTCATGAATAGGCCCTTCTCCTAGGGAGGTTTCTCTACACTATTTGGTATCAAAAAATTATGTTTTTTTTTGTCAGAGAAAAGACTGACACGCTGCCTGTACCTTCCATACACTCCTACCTTCAGTAAGTCAAAATAGGTGACCTCTCTTCCAGAAAGGCAGAGACACCCAAATCCAACCCAAAATCTGTGGAGATGTACACACATATGCAAGGCAATGTCTAACCTGAGTCTGTCTTTCTTACAGTTCTATTTTCAAATCCAGCCTATACCACACAATCACCACAGTCCTCTTCCTAATAATCACATGATCATGTTTAAGAGATTTGTCAATTGTGTCCATTTGACATTAGAGAAAGAAGTTGAAACGCTGGGAGGGAGCTGTGGTCTGCTTGGATGGGCCCTTCTTGCCCTAACGTAGAACAGAAAACGGGAAGAGCAGGGACCAATATCTCCATCAACAAAACAAATGGCAGACACCTACCTCTGCAGTGCAGTCACAGCTACACACATGCTAAAGATATCTTTAGAAGTTGTTTATAGAGAGTTTACGGCAGTTTATGGAAGTAGCTACCCGTTGAGTAGTTACAGTACCCAGAGGTTTGTAGCAAAAGGCAAGACTCACACAAGAAGATAGAGGAACACTTGGGCCATCAGCTGCTTTCAAGTCTAGTGCTCTTTTGGCTATGCTGCTGGTGCTATGCAATCTACAGAGGTCAAAAATCTGTGAGCCGTGATCATGGTGTGACTGCAGTCCTTCAGTGCGGGTGGAACAAACTAGATCTTTACAGGGCAGGAGGCAAGAAGAGATCAGGAATGCTGTGTCTCCTGCTTCATGTGTCTCATGGAACAGTGAATATCTGAGCAAAGACCAAACCCTGACCTCAGAAACAAGACCAAAATCTTCTATGGAAGAGAAGAAAAYAGCTAGTGAAGGGTCCTGCCAGCAGCAGCAGCAGTTGACTGAATGAATCAAAGAGAAAGAGGAGCCGTGTTATCTATCAGAGGAGCTTTGCTCACTTTCAAGAGAGCTCCAAGCCAGGGGCCCAGCAGACCCTCCCAGTGAGGCACCCGCTCTAGAAATGAGGAAGCGACGGAGCRGCGCCCGTACCAAGTCACACAAGAACCTCCCGGCAGAGCCCAGAATAGACACAATGGCCAGAACATCAAGGCTGTGCTCAAACCACRGGGGCAGAGGACAGGAGCTGGCGAGAGGAGGTCACAAGTTTAGAAAGGGAACAAGGCTGAATCGTCAGCAGAAATACAGGGGAAGAAGAACAATGACGAGGGAGAAGGAAGATGGGGGAGGACGAGCAGAGAGAAGGGAAGCGAGAGACACCAGAACTGCTGCTGTCTGAGAGCCAGTGCATCATCATCATCATCATCAGGACGAGCTTGTGCTGCACTCAACAGGGAAGAAATCACCTGAGCAACCACACAGGAAAAATCCCAGCAAGACCTAAAAGCTCATGTTATCTTAGAAGAGCTTTCTGGATAAAAGGGATTTGTGAGCAAAACCTCCATAATCCTTTTGGTTTGCTTTCTTTTAATACTATAAAGCACAAAAATAAACTTTCTAGTTAGCAAAAATATGGCTTTTGTTATGTTCTGAGTCACTTTTCCCCAACAGCAAACAAAGTGGCTTTTCAATTCATGTCCTGAACATTTTAGAATCAAATGTTTCACAAAGGCCCTCAAGTAAATCAGAGTGCTCCCCAGTGAGACTTCTTAATCACATAAACTCCCTGCAGCCAGCAAAGCGACAGCAAGGAACCAGGCTCACCTTGCCTGAGCAGGGTGTTGTGACTGATAAATTAATCTGTATTTTCAAAAGAATTCGGGATGATCTGGTCAGCCAAGCAAAAGCCAGGGATTTCATTTCTAACGTGCTACTAACTCTATCCCAACTGCACAGAGCAGAACGTATCCCTTGCAAGCTGTGCTATCGTTAGATGTCACCGATCTGATTCAAAACTCAATGAAATCCACTTTGCAGTCCAATTTTGGAGTTCATTTAATTGGACTCTGGCTCATRTCTAAAGCTTGTCAGCTTTAACTTCAAATTTCCTTCTTCTTTTTTATTTCTGTTACAAGGTCTGCACTAAGTACTTCTAGAAATGTGGAAGAATCTCTCAGCTTCTCATAGTAAAAGCATCTTAAAACCCAGTGTTCAGCCTTGCTATCAGAATTATCATCTTGACTGGTTATGGTGTTCCAGTCCTTGAATGAAGAATGCCTTTTATTTTATTTCAGATTCAGCAAAATCTCCTAAATCAAAATCACCATTAAATCCCAATTCAACACTAGTGACATTCCCTCTTCAGACAGTACGTAGTAAAAAGTTATCCAGATTTCCCTGTGATTGCACCAAAGCCAAATCAACCACATTTCAGACACAGGCGAAGGGGGTAAATACTCCAGATCCTACTCTCCTTGCAAAAGCAGCAGCAAAGGCAGCACATGATACAGCCACAGAGCACTCACCACCTGAAGCTAAAAAAATTTCTCTTGCAAGGATACTATTTTTATAAAAGAGCCAATCAACCAGCTTCCCAAGAGCTGCCTACCTAARAATAAGCAGGATATGTTCAAAGAAAGCTGCACTCTAACTTATATTCATTCCTAAAGGCTAAATCTGCTGGGCCCACAACAAAGAAACAGCACTGTTTTACTTATCAATGTCCTACTGTTCATCTGGAACATCTGCAAAAGTTTTGCCTGCAGCACTACTCCATTCATTACAGCCCTTGATAGACTCTTCAATGGGCTTTTTTTTGGTACAAAATGTACAAAAGCGTTTTACAAAGTGGACTTTGCCCTGATATGAATAATATAAAAAAAATTAAAAAGTGCGTTTTGTTTCAGTTTCTCCATTTTCCAAGGCAACGTTTGGCAAACCGCAACAAAATGGCAGCAGCTGAAAACCTGACAGCTCCCTCCATGTCATGAAGCAAGACACCAGCTCTCTGCAGAACACTCTTTCTTTTGCCCCATTGCCAAAGTGCATTGCCACCTACCAAAAAGGCAACTGATGAAAGCCAAAAACACAGAATTTCATAAGCAACAAATTCACCTCCATCAAAAAGAGGCCACACTGTCTTTGTGCAGAGGAACAGGTAGGATTTATAAGTCGTAAACTCCTGCCCTCCCTCCAACAAACCAATCCATACAAGAAAAGAGTGGCTCTTACCGTCATCCAGGTATGCTTGGTCCAGATTCTGTTCCTGCTTGATAGTGACTCCAGCTGGTAACACTTCTTTCTGGTCGCTAACTGGTGGTCCATTTTTTGCTGCTCGCTGGCCTGAGGCTGTCTGCTGCTGAATCACGGTCGGGTACGAACTTGGACTTAACCTTTGTGCTTGACTGACTTGGGGCTGGCTGGATCTTGCAACGCTGGATGTAAAATTTTCACAGCACATGATGTGCTGAAATTCTTGGTGACTTCCACACCTCAGCTGCTGGTTGGTTGGAGAATAGTGGATCACTGGGGAAGACTGCTGGTTGCCTGGAGAGTGGTGGAGCACTGCTGAAGTTTGGCCTGGGGAACCAGCATGCACCAGCACTGACCTATGGGCATCTGAAATAGCCACCGGCGTGGCCATCAAGCTGGACTGCTGGTAGCCCAGTTGGCTCGGGCTCAGGCTCTTGCTTCTTTGGTATATTACGGCGGCTGGATTCTGCTGATGGTATCGAGAATCGGGAGAAGAAATGCCTGAGCGCAACTGCTGGCAGGGGGCCATGGTGGCCACAAGACAGGAAGGGGACTCGGTGACCATTGTGTGCTGTGAATAGTAAGGCTGTGTTACTGTTCCCAGACCACTGTGTACTGTATTGCAGATTAAGGCTGGATCATAGTCATCAATGGGCTCTGTTTTGATTGATGGTACTAGAATAAAGCATGCAAAGGATGTTATTCGTAACAAGCTGTGAGAAACAAGAGAGGCTTTTCCTTGAAGTAGTAAGAGATACAAGTCATTTACAAGGTTTGTATGTGTGAGTTCTTACCTCCTTGCTATTGGGTTTAATAAAACGTGTCATTACAATCATAGGAGACTCTCATGAAAACATTCTGTATTAAGATGGACATCAAAGCGTCTACTCAACAATTTAACCACACATGCCTGAAAATTTTAAAATTCAGTATTTTAACTCATTCACTTAAAGGCCATTCAAAGCGGAACATAAGCAAAGAAGCCTGTGCTATACATTCCTATGAAATGTATAACCCTTAATTTTTTAGTCAAACACTGAATCTGAGCTGAAATTAACTGAAGTTGAGCTGAACATTTAGGGAGAATTTTTTAGCCCCCTTGCCGCACGCATCTTCCTCAGAACTGACAGCTAAAGACCTTTCTGACATCGKTTTTTACAAGATCACGATTTCTACTTCAGTAAAATGTGTGTGAATCTTAGTGTGGATAAACAATGGTTCTCTGCAGACAAATACTATCTTTTTCCATGTGCTTTTTCTAAAAATGTAAAACCTTTCCCAAAACTCAGTGCAGAGATACTATATCATGCAGGGGGGTTGGACTAGATGATCTTTAAAGGTCCCTTCCAACCTTAAAGATTCTGTGATTCTGTGAAACCATATGATGGTCATACAACGCGGTTTCATTATGGAAGTGTAAGGTTTCCTTCTCTGAAGTGGGCTATTTGAAAGTTCATATTGAAATAATCTTATATTTCTCAATAGTATTCCACCATTTAGCAATGTAGCAGCTATACAATCCATGTGTGATGAAAAAGCAATGCCCTACATGAATCATAAATTCAGGGAGAGGAGCAGAGAATTTTAGSCTATAAGACTCTGAAATAAGAACTAGTATGTCTTTCCTTGGAAACCGGTGGAATTAAGTTGGAAATTAATTCTGAAGCTTGCAAAAAATCTCATATTGTTATTTTGTGTTTTCTGTTCTATGCAAGCACAATACTCTGATTTTCTCACAGTATTTTTCTCCCAGCCAAAGCGGAGATATTCTGGGAATCTCATTAGCAATCCTGTTGCGTTTATTGTGAGATTGCTCATCAAATCCCATGGGGGAGGACATCACAAAAGCATTCATGTTTTTCTCAACCAGGCTCATTCTGAAAATATATATTGCTCTTCTTCCTCCACACCAAGCCCTTGTTATTTTCCCAGATCCGATGTTATCTTACTGTGGGACATGTCAGCTGGGGAAGGCAGCGCTCGTCGTTTTTCACAGGGTCACATCATGTTGCAGACTGATCTGCTCCCACTGAAGCTGTTGGCAAACTCCCACCAGCTGAGTGGGGCAAGATCAATCCCCTGCCAAGGTTTATGGGAAATCCTTGCTCCTAAATCATACGAATCTTTTAAATGAAACATTTGTTGAGTGCTTAACTGCATGTCTGAATTAAATTAGTAAAATTTAGATCCCCAGATAACAGCAAATAAAACATAATGGCAGAAAACAAAATCTGGCTCATGAGATAAAATAACAACTTGCACTGTCCTTGGCAATTACCTGGATGATAGGTAAAATGCTGGGGTTGGCTTCTTTTTCTCTTCCCATTGATGACATAGAAATTCACCTTCACAGGTGTGCGGATGTGCTTGTTACGATATTCTGGTACTTCTACAAAAAGCATGCTCTGAAACGACAAAGGGTAAAAAAAAAAAAAACCTTATCAGTAACTTCTTAGGCACATCGTCTCTGTTACACATTCAGGGTAAGGGAAATCTTCCCTTACCTTACCCTTCCCTCACCCATCCCTAAAAAGAAAGGCATATGAGGAAAAAGCAAAAAAAGGGTGGATAGAGCAGACTAGAAATTTYTGGTATTTCTGAGCATCCACTACGGTACTGATGTTGTCCTAAACTTGAGGAATCTCAGCTACAAATAAAATACACAGAATGGTCATAAAGGGTGCATTGGCGCTATTAATCATACTGTGCCTGATAAACATCTGTGCATTGCACAAATTCCTCTGTTTTTGTTACAATAAACTTGATTACTCTACAGGCTTATTACTTATACACAGCCGGATCCTCCTTCCAAGGAAGTTAAGAGCGTCCCGTTCTCTTCCGCAAGAGCAGGGTGGCCCACAGCAATGCAAGCAGAGGCTCATTCCCTTGAAAGACCAATGTTAATTTTAAATAATATAGCACAAATCCTGTCCTGCAAAGCCCAGAGCACCCAAAACTTCCACCCAAGTGAGAGGAAGTCAGACCGGCCAGCATCCTGCAGTGGGCTTTCAAAACCAGGCTGATACAATAGAGCCCTCTGCGAGAGCACAAAATCTAGCAGTTGTTCAACTTGCGGAGGGTTGTTGCTAAATGAATAGTTTCTTTTTGCAATACATTTATTGCTGAAGCATTTGACATTTGCTCATCACGGCAAGTTGGAGACACTCTTTGCAAACTACCCCTTGAAACAAGCTGCGGTCTGAGGYGCTCCAGGAGAGGACATCCAGCGACCTGCATACTTACAGGCTGGCTCTTATCTTTATCCACGGTGGCCTCCATCTCCCAGATCTGCTGCCCATCTGAAAGAATATCACAGGATTAACTTCACTGCATTTTTTAAGAAACACAGAATGACAAAAAAAAAAAACACCCAAACAAACAAACAAAAAAGGGCATCAAGTTAGCAAAACTCTCAAAACTGACTTAAAATTARGCACTTTCCCAGTCCTAATCAAAGTAATACCATTTAATTTTAATACATCCTTGAACGCAYCTCTGGACAGAAGAAAAGCTTACATACGTATTAGAATTAAATGTACATGCAGAAATCTGCTGAACTGAGGAATGAAATATTCAGCAGAGGTGCAACATGTGCTTTTTGCTAAATCTGATTGCAGCCAGCTTGACTGGTTGGGGGTCACCATCAGCGAGGTGACCTGGTAAGGTAGCTTGCTGGCTRCCTCGACTGGGACACTGGCCGTATGCACCGCTTGATTTCTGTTATGCATATATTCTTAGTATTTATAGTCATTTCTTATACACATAAAATGAAAGCTAGGCAAGTGCCACGTAGAGGGGCATCTCCCGTGATCAAGGAGCAAACTCTGCATCTCTGACAGAGGACCTGCACCTTTCACTGCCACCGCTCCAGGTTTCCAYGTACCCCAGGCTTTCAGTCCAGCTCCAGGCACTATAACAGGCTAAACATTCACTCCAGCAGTAGCTCACCACATGTGCAATGACTTTTGTCTTGGACCCACTGGAAGCCTTTCTGCTCTTAATTATATCCACAAGCTTGTCTCTCCATTCTGAGCTACATAAAGTTGTATTTATAGAGTAAAATAAAATCTGATCTCTTCCTATGGAATATCATCAAAGTAATGCAGCACTACAGCAGTACATTAGTAGTGGCAGAGCATTTGCACACAGATTGGGTGCTTTTTCTGGCTACAAAATATTTCTTAAATCCACTGCCATCCACCCTTCATAGAATATCCTTTAGCAATGCTTTCCTTAAAAAAGAAAAAAAAAAAGGGGAAAAAAATGAACTAGAWTTTAGTCTCTACCCCTATGATTTTTATAATATTGTGCTAAGTCTTTTAACCAAGTAATTTTCTGAAGAAAAACACTGATGAAAAAAATGCTCTGTACCTTTTAGAAAATTTGACTTTAAAATGAATGGGGGACACGTATCCAAAATAGCTGGCGTGACACGCAGGGCTGCAGCCACAAGGCTGCTGTTTGTTTTAGCGAGGGGGAGGAATCTGCTGGGCTGCGTTTCTACTGGTGGGTTCCCCAGCCTGAGTGCCCACGTTTGGCACCGCAGAGGTGCAAGTCTCATAGAAAAACACTTCTTCTTGCAGCACTTTTATTTTTCCTGATTCTTGGAAATTCTGCAAGAGCTGCTTTTGTCCTCTGTTATTAAAGCACTTCTGCTTCTGGCACAAAGAGCAATGTGTGTTTTTAAAGGCATTTTTGGGCGAGAGCTGTCCCCTGCTCCCAGCGGACAAGGAGCGGGCAGAGGCACTCGGACGGTTCGGATGCCGCTCGCCCCGATGAGGAGGAGGTGGCGGTGAGGAAGGCCCTGTGAGTCAGCCCCATGAGTCACTGCCCCTCGGGGACAGGGCCTGGCTGCAGCCCCAGCCGCACAGCGCGATGCCGAGCGGGCGCAGGCCGACACGGTCACGCTCGACGGGGATGTTCCCTTCCTGGGGAAACCTTGGGAAGAGCCACCACCCTATTAACAGACCTTCCCCCCCAAAAAAAACCCAAGCCAGAAGAATTCTTATACCCTCCGAAGGAAAGAGGAGGAAACAGCAAACACGTCAGGAAATAATGGCCTGGATAGAGATGTGCATCGGGGCTGTGGACGCAGCGCGGGAGGACGATGTCCCGACAGCAAGGACAGCCACACGGGGGTATTTGCTGCTGTTTTGCCCCCAGGCAGAATGGTTTCATCTCTGTTCCCGCACTGCTTAAATTCAAGCAGTCTGTGCTGATATAACAGCATTAACGGCACATAGAGGGTAGAAATCAAAAGGACTGGCCTGTGCAAAATGCATAAAATAAAGGAGAAATGRCCCTCAAAGTCATCTGCCGTGTCCGGGAGGCCTGTGAGGCACATGCAACTGCAATTACAGTTGATTTGATTTAGTAACTGAGCCACTGAAAAAGCACTAAAAGCTAATGAAGCCAACCATAAAAATCAAATGATGCTTAGGTGGAGTCCAAAGTCTGTGGGGATTAGGAGCAAGAATGAGAATAATCCCGACCAAACAAGAAATACGTGTATGTGGGGTATCRTTCTAATGATGATTGATGCCTCTGTTTGGATATCGTAGCCCCGCTCGTGGCAGCTGAACAGGTTTCTAACAGATCTGTCAGCAGTGGCAATTCCTGGTCTTTAAGCACCAAGGCACTGTTGAATATAACCATTCTGCAGCTCAATCACTGACCTTTGTGTTTAAATATCACGATGTGGCTCCATCTGTCTCGCTGCTTCACTTTTATAGTTGTGAATGTACAAACTTTAATTCAAGACGATCAATATTTGCTTTTGCTTTAACCCCCCTGGATACACACATTAGAGGGAGCTTTTGGCAGCAGGATGGAGGAGGTCAGGAATAAAATGAGAAATACAACTGCGTTCATAAAGACCACTCCAACTTATTATTTTTGCTGGAAATAGTGAGAAATCTCTTAATTATGCACAGAGAGATAACCAAAAGCAGGAAGAATATTAAGAAGTCCAGGGTCCATCCATAGCATAACATGGGGAAGCTTGGTACAAAGAAAACTTCCACAAAACTATCAGCTTAGCAAAGTTACTGTCCTTAAAACACGCATAAAGAAGATTTTTTAAGAATTCATTGAAGGGAATAATTGAAGAAAGTCATCACCAAAGATGCGATTTTCATTCTCAAGATGGATGTGCTAGAAATAGCAACACTGAGACGATGGCARGACTTAGGATGCCTAAACCCCGCAGCTGCCCCTTGCCAAAACGGGACAAACTATCCCTCGCCTCCCTGCTTACAAACCAAGACAGCAAAGCCCCAGCTGCTAATTTAATAGAAAGGTTACAAAAAGCTGATTACTGCATAAATTAAACCTGCTTCAACAGATGAAACTGCAAATCAGCATCAATTTTGCTGAAGAATTATGAGAGTGGTCAGGCCCTGAAGATGCAGAGACCGTGAGTGCTGCAAGTTGTGAGTGCTACCAGTCCCTCCAAAGAGCTGCGCTCGAGGGCCAGCATCTCCTCAACGGGATCCCACAGCACGCGTGGCTCACCTGGGAGCAYGCTGCCAAAGCCATGGAAAGAGCAGTGGTTCCACTAAAGATGATAAATATTTCTGCATTTGTAACCCCAAAGTCTTACCCGCCACAGCTGCCTCCTGCAGTATTTTTACTGTTGTGGCTCSCTGCTCATTTACTGGTTTGTCTTGGTTGGCAAGTCTTTAACACCACAGGTCAGTGAAACGTTCAGGAAATCGAGGTTTTTGTGCTGCTTCAGGGCTATGAGACTTAGTATTAAGCCCTGATGAGAGATCTGATTGTGTCAGCACTCTTTGGAGGAATGAATGAGTTGTTGGGAGAAGGTAATTCTACCCTCTCTAACCCAAACCAGGATCATACCAAAAGTCTTGCTTCAAACTTTGGGGAAAATCAAAATGTCAGGCTGCATTAAGAACATTTTGGGTGATTCTCTGCAGTCCCTTATAGGGCTTTTTTTAATTAGCCAATTAAAGGTTTTCTCAAACCTGCTACAGCCTTTGCACATTATTCATGATGTTTTATTCATGACTTTGGGGTCAGTAACTAGCAGCAAAACAAACTTACTGCTTTATTTGAACAAGCATGACTGATGGACTGAGAGGTTCAGGAAATTTTCTTTGCAAGTCTCTCCAACTGAAGACTAAGTGTACTATTGTGCTGAGTCTGTATGTRATTCTGTGCTCGCCTGCGATTTTATGCTTGAAAATGTACATTGCTTTTCAGTCAAGCATTACACAGATTACTTAATGAACAACCTGTTACCTTCTTCTCRGGCAGAAGACCAGACTAGTTCATCACAGAAACCCAGCATGGAGCTGGGGGCAGCTGCTCTCACTGAACATCTCTGCAGAGTTCCCTTTGGGTTGGCTATGAATTGTTCCTAGTTGCTGTGTTTCCTGGAAGGTCTTCCAAAAACACACACAGATTATCTCTGTCAGCCTTCTGCAGCAGATTACAGGCATCCCTGGAAAATGGTCAAGGTGACTTCTTAAACCACCTCAAGAACAAAGCAAATCGAAACAAATGCTTCCTAGCAGATCAAATGGTGCTTTAGAGACATGGAGACTGGGCAGGCAGGGGACAACTTGCACAAAGTCTCTGCTGCTCTTTGGTGGGACGAAACCTGAATGTGGCTGGGGAAGTTCATGCCAAAGCAAGGTGTCAGAACCTGTCTCCAGGCACTTGTCTCCTTACAAGCTTTTCCTTCAGGATGGCTTTCAAACTTCAGAGCAAACACAGCATGAATGAATTCCTACTCACAAAAGAAGTGCTATCGAGATTTTCACTGAGCTTCATTTCCACAGATTGCTTTTTCTTTCTGAACCAAGACTGCCCACTGCAGTTAATTAAGCTCTGTTTATGGTGAGCTGAGGCCAGTGCCTTCATTTCACTGGAACATGAGTTTGAGTCACCCAGGCCAAAGATACAAGTCAAGGTCTGGGAGGTAAAAGGCCAAGAGATTAGTCATCCGCCATCCAGCCCAGCCCCAAATCTGACATTTTGCACAGTGAGAACAAGTCTAGAGGAGATTTCCCCCCATCTATTGTTGAGGAATTCAGCTTGCACTAAAATAAAACATAGATACAGTAGTTGAGTAGTGAAGCAGCAGGGGCAGTCTGTCATTCCAGAGCTCTTCCAAATAATTCCTTATGCCAATTCATCGAAATAGATTTGTTCCTTTTTTTTTTTGAAAAAAAAAAAAAAAAAGATTGTGTGAGTGTGTGTATAAATTATTAAACAAAAGCTCCACTCAAAATAAAACCACTGGGAACCTCCATGTAATAAAATGAGTCACACCAGG